CTTCCCACTTGACAGATGAGGGAACTGAGGCCCAAAGACGTCAGATGGCTCTCTTGCAGTCCCACAGGGGAGCGTCGCCCCTAGGCTCACTCTCCACACCATCAGGAGCGGCTGGGACTATGGGAAGACCCAGCATGGCCAGTGGGGATAGATATAAAGCGCTTAGGGGGCGGGGCTCCAACATCCCTAGTGATCAGGACCAGGGCCAGCTCCACGAGGGCTGCTGTGCGAGGCCCGCCTTCCCCTTGCCCCGGGCGCCAGAGGAGGGTTCCGGTCTCTCTGGGCTCTGCCTCCAGTACAGGCAAAGAAACTTCCTACCTAGGCCTGTCTCCCCCTTCCCAGGTGCTCCTGCAGACACCTCCCGATGCTGATGCTCTGTGCTTTCTTCTCGCTTCCCCCACCCCGGGACTCAACCACTGCTTGGCTCTGGCCGCAGTGGGGCGGGGAGAGATGATCTACTCCGCCCATACAGGAAGTCCCGCCTCGACTCTCGGTCCTGCCCAATCGAATGGGACAAATACGCAGTGCCGCTCTAGGCCACCCGGAGTATTTATCATCTCTGTGGCCTCCCCTTCTGACTTCGACTCTTTACTGTATTGGCTCCTCTTTCTCTCTCCAGAACCTAACTGTTCTCCTGTACCTCCTTCTGGCCCCAAAGGACCCTGTGCTCACCTAGGCTGTGTCAATGGAAAGCAAGCTCTGGCAAGTTCTGCCATTTTGGATAGGTTACAAGAGACTCAATCTGTTTTCTTAGGCCCAGCCTTTCGAAGTACAGAGGTTCAAATTCAGGAGGCTGAGCACTTGGTGATGAGTTCTTTGGCCATGGCAATCCACGAATTAATAAAAATACAAAAGCTCTCTCAATCCTGTGCAATCCCCTTCTTCTTCTACGATGATGGCAGCAGAGTGAGGGGAAAGGAAGAGAAGGTGCTAGGAATCACGTCACTTACAGACCATTAGAGATGGTTAACTTGGCTGCTAGTACTCTAAATGTGAAAAATTGATCCACTGACCAGTGGACCTGGTGAAATGAGGAGTTTGGACTAGCCTGCCTCTAAAGAGAGTGCTGAGTGTGTATGAGTAACAGTAGATAGTATAGTTTGGCAGGAGCTTAGGATACAGAAAAGAGAGTATAAGGCTGGAAAGGTATTGTGACACCAGTAGCCTGGAATGGGTGGCTAAGGAATTTGAACTGTCCTCAGTAGACAAGAGTGAACCTTTAAGAGATTTTGAGCAGAAGAGTGACATAATCAAATCCATGTGTTAGGCAGTTGGTTTCCCACTACTGGAAGTATTTAAATAAAGTCTAGATGATCACTGTTAGGTATATTATAGAGGGGACTCTTTTTCAGGCATGAGTTAGACTAGATGGCTGCTGAGTTACCTTCCTAATATGACATTCTATGCTCTAATTAGTCTTCATAAAGTGGTATAAAGAATAGATGGGAGGGGGAGGCCAATTAAGAAACTATTGTAATAATCCAGGCATATGCTAGTCATACCCTATACTAGCAATGGTGACAGTGAGAGAGAAGAGGAATGAAGTAATGCAGAAGAAGACTCAATAGAAGTTGGGAAGTGATTAGAAATAACATTTTAGAAATTGTATGATAAAATTCCTCAACCCCCTCATCCTCAATGATCTCTTCTACCCAACTCTAACCAAAATGCCAACCTCACCAGCTCTCAGAACCATTCCAGCTCTAATAAGTCAAACTTTAAAATTCCACTCTTGCGATACCCGCTTATCCTTCCTTCTCTCATGCTTCTTCATGAAAACTAAACTTATGCAGTAGTGTGCTGGCAAATGTTTAACAACCAGCTCTCTTAAATGGTACAAGCTGGCTCCAGCACACCCCTTATTCTGACCTTTGGTCTTAGCCCATTCCTATTCTCCCAGCCTATCTCCCCCCACTCTCCCACCTCAATATAGATTCATTTAAGTTCATACGTAGCTTTGTCCTTATGGTCAAATGTTTTATTATGTTTTATTAACAAATGAACATAGAATCTTTTGTCTTCTTGACTTTTTCCCAACTGCAAATTTTTATCCCTGGGGGATCCCCACCATTTGATTTTTCTGTTCCTGCTCTAAAATTGCAGAATATAATTGGAGAAAATCATGAAATGAAGCTGATTTCACCTTGACAGATTAATGGTAAATAACCTCTTCAGGTCCGTCATCATTGCTGCTTGACAGTCTTCTACCCTACCTCCATCTACTTTCTCATTCCCCACAGCAATGATTCCAAATCTCTTTCTCTCTCCTGAAACCCAGACCCACTACCCCCTATATACCTTTAGCAGGCAATGTAGTATCTACTTCATTGAAAACAAGGTAAGCCATCCAACTATGAGCCCCCCCCTCCCTTAGCTTCACACCTCCATTTAACAAACATTTATTAAGCACCTTCTATGGGTCAAGTACTGTGAACCTTCTTTGCTTCATTGCCTATTCTCTCTACCTTTCCTCAGATCACAGAACAGGAACCATCCCAACTCTTCACTAAGCTTAATCCTACTGCCTATAGTCCTGATCTTATTTTCTCTCACTTCCTTAGGCACCCTGGGATCTTCGCACTCACCCTCACTCCCACACTCCTCCCACATATCACATTCACCTACCAACATAGTCATGTCTCTATGATTCTAAAAAAAAACAAAAAACCTTTCCCTGATTCTTCTATTCCATTCATCTTCTTTACCATCATTCCCAAACTGGAAGCACCCTGGTATAATGGGAAAAGTACAGAACTTTCAGAATCAAGGAGACCTTAGTTTCAGTTCCATCCCTGACATTTAATAATTGCCTGACTATGGGTAAGTCATTTAACCTAATTCTCGATTCCCTCAATGGTAAAATGGAGCTTATACCTGTAGTACCTAATTTACAAGATTGTTGTGAGCTTCGAATGATTTATATATGTAAGATATGTATATAAGCCTTGCAAACCTTAAAGGGCTACTAAATGCCATTTACTAATATGACACTTGGCACAGGAAATAAGCATGTTAGGGTTTCAGGTAGTGATCCTAAACCTTTATTCACTTATATGTCACTCATTCCCCTGCTTTTATGCTATTACATATATATGTATACATATATACATAAAATTATGCTATTGCAGAATATCATATTATATAATATAATTTTTAATCATGTGATTAAATAATTAAACAACCAAGGAATTATATCTTATTTGGCCTCTAGTGACATTTTTTTTTTTAGGCAATTGGGGTTAAGTGACTTGCCCAAGGTCACACAGCTAGTAAGTGTCAAGTGTTTGGTCTGAGGCTGGATTTGAACTCAGGTCCTCCTGACTTCAGGGCTGGTGCTCTATCCACTGTGCCACCTAGCTGTCCCTCTAGTGACATTTTAAGTACCCAAGAGTAGCCTACTCCTGCCTCCTACCACTTGTTCTTCCTCCAAAAACAGCATTTTGTGATAGTTGGCTCCAAAGCTAATAGAGATCTAGGGATATGATCTGAAATATGTCCATTAAGTTGTCAAAATGAGGAAGTCTCTCTCATCTTTTCTCTGAACTCCTACTCCTTGTCTGGACTCCTCTTTCCTCACTGATTATGCAATAATCATAAGATTTAACAATTAACGTCTAAATGGAAATGTGATTTATTGAATGTAATAGTGTACATATCCAAACTGTAAAAAAATGTGTTTGAATAGCAAAGATGCAAGATTTAATGTACCTTGGATCAATTTCCTTCCTGTGAAAAGCTGGGGATGGGGGTGGGAGAAAGGGAGAGAAAGAGAGAGACAAAGTGGGAGGGAAAGAAAGTATTTGGCAATTAATCAATCAAAAAGCATTTTTAAGTATTTACTATGTGTCAGATTCTGTGATAAGTCCTGGGAATATAAGGAAAAAACAAAAACAAGAATTAGAACCAATAGGAGGAACCACCAGAAAGAGGAAACAAAACTCAAGAGAAGAAAAAAAAATAGCAAATAGTATGCTTTGATCTTCATTCAAATTCCATAGTTCTTTATTTGGATGTGGATAGCATTTTCCATCATGAGACCTTTGGAGATATCTTAGATCCTTGCATTGCTGAGAAGGGCTAAGTCTATCAAAGTTAGTCATCACACAATGTGGCTATTACTGTGTACAATGTTCTCCTGGTTCTGCTCATTTCACTCAGCATCAGTCCATATAAATCTTCCAGGTTTTTCTGTAAACTTGTTTTTTTTTTTAAAAAAATATTTCAATATAATTGGTTTAATAATAATAGCTAGAATTAGACTAAAGGCATCAGACTGGGATAATTTTTTTTTCCAATTTTGAATAACATTTTTATTTAAAGTTTTGAGTTCTAAATTCTATTCCTCCCTCCCTCCCTTCCCCACTTCTGAGACAGTAAGCACTCAGATATAGGTTATATATGTGCATTTATGTAAAACATTTCCATATTACTCATTTTGTACAAGAAGACTTAGAAGAAAAGAAAAGAAAGAAAGAAAGTGAAAAATAGTATGCTTCAGTCTGTATTCAGTCAATATCAATTCTTTCTCTGGAGGCAGATAGTATGTTTCATCATTAGTCCTTGGATCATTTTATTGCTGGGAATAGCTTAGTCATTCACAGTTTTTCTTTTTCTTCAATTTTTTTTAGGCAGTTGGGGTTAAGTGACTTGCCCAGGGTCACACAGTTAGAAAGTGTTAAGTGTTTGGTCTGAGGCTGGATTTGAACTCAGGTCATCCTGACTTTAAGGCTGGTGCTCTATCCACTGTGCCACCTAGCTGCCCCTCATTCACAGTTTTTCATCGAACAATATTGCTGTTACTGTGTAGAACGTTCTCCTGGTTCTGTTCACTTCACTATGCATCAGTTCATGAGAAACCCTTATCAGTTCGAAATAAGAGAATCTGTAGGGACCACTCTAGGCAAAAAGGAGGACTCGTAGTCTCTATGGTTTATGCTCCTGTTACAGAGTGGAAAGGCGAGAAACCTTCCTGCACTTCCGGTCCGAGCCCCTTTCCGTGGGGTGGAACTTCCGGCCAGGATGGTCTGGTTCCGTAGGGGCTGTGTGGCCGGGCCCCACTGTGGATGGTGAGTCCTGGGCCCGGCCCCGGGGGCGGGGAAGACCGAGAGAGGACTAGAGTACCTTCCTTCTCCCCCCACCCTCCATTTCCGCCTTGTTCATTAGACACCCTAAGTTATGTATGTACTCGGAAGTGTGGGGAAACCACCGAGTCCCTGTTGAACAGTCAACGAGTGTGGACTCGGGCTCCTGCGAGCAGAGCACGTGCTGTTCTTCCCTTCCTCACATGTTTTCCCCATCTTTGCTGCCTCCGCCTCGGGGTAGGGGAGCAGGCCCGGGCACCCCAGGGAAGGAGGCAAGGACAGTCATTGCCATGGGGCGGACAGGCTCTCTGACTCTGTGATGGTGTGAGAGGAGATAGAGAGGAAATAGGTTATGGGAGTCATTCAATAAACACAGATAAAAATCTGGACAGGACTTCTAGTCCATCTCCCTCCTATTCCATAATTGGAAGCTGAGTTCTAAGGATTTCAAGTCACTGACCCAACGTCAGTTAGGAGGAAGACTGGAATTTGAACCCTGGGACCTCAGTCTCTAAGCCAAGTGCTCTTTCCACTGTGCCACTTGTCACATCAAGGATTCAGCGGTCTAACAGAAGTTCACTTTTGCTTATATTTGAGCTTGAGTTGCTTGTGGGACATCCAGGCGAATCATTACAATTAAAAGCTGGAAGAGTCTAATGCCTTCATTTTATAGAAGAGGAAAGGAGCCCAGGAAGGTTAAGAGGTTGGATAGAGATCATAACTAACCACCTCATACTTTTTCATTTGGTGTGATTCTTGTCCATGTCTTTTCCTGATTCCTCCATATATGATATGCCCAATGCATTGGAGGCCTTCCTCCGGTTCTTGAAATATTTCTTGGATACCAGGGAAGCCCTTGGGCTGGCTGTTTGTTATCTTTCACACTCAGTACAGGAGCTGCCATATTTTCCAGTCATGCATGTTTGCTTGAAAGCTTACAATTCATTTCTCATATGGAAGGGTTGCTAAGGCACTGTAACTTGCATCTACCACATATCTTTTCATTGCTTTTTGAGGATTAACTGCAATTTTGATTTTCAGAAATCATGATATTCCATGATTCACAGCTATTTAACTTTATTGGTAGTATATTGCTGTTCAAAGATGGTCTTTTGGAGTAGAGAGTAGCTTGAGATCCTTGAAAACACTGTGATTTCAATGAAATCCAGCTGGTGTCTTCCATTCATTTCTGGGCCTGGCTCATCTACCTGGAGTGCCCACACAAGCTATATCTACTGTTGGAGTAACTAATGGTCATCCAACTGCATGTTATATATTCTGGGCAATGTATGTTTTGCATCCACATTTTTGTAGAGTGAATGGTTAAAATGACTGGGTTTGTTTTTTTTTTTTTAATGACTATCTCATTGAAGAGGATTTGCAGTGTTCTAAGTTAGTTCAATGTAAATGACACCTGCAAAAAGGAGTATTTATATTTAGACTTTATGCCTCACTTGATGTTGATACTCATAGGATCTTTGAACAAATTTATCTCCATCATTGCATCTAGTAAGATTTTAATATATGTGTGGGAAACACTTTCAGGTGAGCTTCATTTTGTCCCCCTAAGTCAAATATCTTTTTTAACATGCAAATCATAGAGCATTATCTCACAATTGTATCTGTCATCTGTATGACTGTAAATGTGGTAATGTGGTATCTTCTACAAATTTTCTGTGAAAGTCTGCCTGTTCTCTCAAAATTTTCAGCAAGGATAACCTCATTGCATAGAACCATAGAACCTCAGAATTGCAAAGAGACCTCAGAATATAGTTCAACTCATAACTGAGTAAGAATCTTCACTACAACACACCAAACAAATAGACATCAATCTTTTTTTGTGAAGATCTCTTGTAAGAGAGATAACACCACCTCCTATGGCATCAGTTGTACTTTTCAATAACAAATACATACATTGTTATTATAGAGATATAGAGGTGAAAAAATAGGTATAAGGGTTGGCAATTGCTGATCCTCAGTCATACTTCTTTTCAGTATTAACATCTATGATATTGTATGTTGTTTTGAAATCTCTTAAACATTTCAAAGATCAATGCATGTCTTTAAAACTGTGTCACCTCTAGCATGAATTTCTTCTTAGGTTCATCAGCTTTTCCCACATCTTAAGTCCCATTCCCACTTCTCATAAACAGTACATAGGACACTGAAGTGGTAGAATCCAAATATAGTGGTTTTACTTTTGTAAATGAGAATAAATGACTATAATTAACAGATCTGTTCCATTTCCTGCCTGTTTTTTTTCCTACCTGTTTCAGCTACATATGCTTTTGGAATGATGAAACTTAGTTGTCTCTGTTGCCCAAATCTTTGTAGACTCATTTCCCCTACAGCTGTTTCTCATTGATAAAGCTCATGATTTGCTGTTGTTGGCCTACCTGCCTGTTTTCCTTTCTTTTTTGAACATTAAGTACTGAGAGAGTGGATGTGGGATGTTTTCTCCAGTGACTCCCTATTACCTCTAGTATCAAATATATTCAAAGTGCTTCATAACCTGCCTCCCCCCACCACCCCAAACTTTCCACTTTTTTAAACCTGATTCACCTCCACATGCTTTTCAGTCCAGTGAAATTGACTTCCTTGCCATAATTCTCACATCTAACTGGACATTTCCTTTTTTCTTTTTTTTTTTTTTGAGTTGTGGTAGATCATTGTTTTGTTTTGTTTTGTTTTTTAGTTTTCAACATTCACTTCCATAAGATTTTGAGTTCCAGATTTTCTCCCCATTTCTCCCTTTCCCCCACTCCAAACCAGCATGCAATTTGATATAGGCTCTACATACACATTCATATTGAACCTATTTTCACATTAGTCCTGTTGTAAAGAAGAACCAGAACCAATGGGAAAAACCATGAGAAAGAAGAAACAAAAAAGAAAAAGAAAAAAAGAGAGAGAGAACAAATAATGTGCTTTGGTCTGCATTCAGACTCCATAGCTCTCTCTCTCTCTGGATGTGGACAGCATTTCCCATCATGAGTCCCCTGGAGTTGTCCTGGATCTTTGCATTGCTAAGAAGAGATGAGTCTATCAAAGTTAGTCATCACACTTTGTGGCTGTAACTGTGTACAATGTTCTCCTGGTTCTGCTCACTTCACTCAGCAAAAGTTCATATAAGTCTTTCCAGGTTTTTCTGAAGTCTACCTGCTCATCATTTCTTATAGCACAGTAGCATTCCATAACATTTTTGTTATAGAATATACCACAACTTATTCAGCCATTCCCTAACTGATGGGCATCCCCTCAATTTCCAATTCTTTGCCACCATAAAAAGAGCTGCTATAAATATTTTTGTACATATGGGTCCTTTTCCCATTTGTATGGTCTCTTTTGGATACAGACCTTAAAGTGGTATTGCTGGGTCAAAGGATATGAAGTGTTTTATAGCCCTTTGGGCATAGTTCCAAATTGCTCCAAATTGTTGGATCAGTTCACAACTCCACCAACAATGCATTAGTGTTCCAATTTTCCCACATCTTCTCTAGCATTTATCATTTTCCTGTTTTGTCATGTTGGCCACTCTGATAGGTGTGATGTGGTACCTCAGAGTTGTTTTGATTTGCGTTTCTCTAATCAATAGCAATTTAGAGCATTTTTTCATGTGACTATAGATGGCTTTAATTTCTTCATCTGAGAACTGCCTGTTCATATACTTTGACCAGGCAAAAGGACAAATGGCCCATTTCAAGACAGAGAGTAGACCAGCTTGACAAGACTAATTATTTCTTCTTCCCTAAGCTTGCCTTCCCCTCAACTTCCCTATTTCTGTGGATTCTAGCATCATCCTCCCAATCACACAAGCTTGGAATCTTGGAGTCACCTTTGACTGTTTCTTTTACATAATTGCCACCCTCCCCTACCCCATCCCATTTCCAGTCATTCTCTAGTCCTGTTCAGTCTGCTCATGGAACATCTCTTGCATATGTCCTTTTCTCTGCACATGTAGCACATCATTGTCATTCAAGATCTTGTCACCTCTAGATTTTTGTAATAGCTTCATCAATCAGTCAGTCTCTCTACTTCTTGTCTCTCACTTCTCAAATATATCTTTTACACAGGTGACAAAATTAGTTTCTCAATGCACAGATTTGATGACATCACTCCTCTGCTCAAAAATCTTTAGTTATTATCTCATCTAAAATATCAACTCCACAGCTTGGTACAGAAGATCCTTCACAATCTAGCTCCATCCCACTTTTCTAGTCTTAATTCAAATGGCTTCCCTTCAATCTGAATTGGACAACTAACTATTCCCCAAACTCTAATGCCTCCATTAATTTGCACAGGTTTCCTCCACTGACTAGGTTACACACTATATTGTTGCCTGTCAAAATTCTCTTTCAAGGTCCAAATCAGGCACTATCTTCTCTGTGAAACCTTTCTTGATTGGCCCCTCCTACCCCAGCCCTCTCCCATTTGAAAGCGATTTGTTCCTTCTCAAAATTTTCTAGTTCATTTGGCTCAGATCTCTCTTTTGCCCCCATCACACCTTTCCTTATGCTTCATTTGTTAGTTAGTAAGTATTTATTAATTGTTTACTATGTGTGAAGCCTTGTGTATTTGTGTATATGCTGTTTCCTTGCTAGTATAACGTAAGCTCTTTGAAGTCAAGGACAGTACCATTTTTCATTGTTGTATTCCCAGTGCCTGAAACAGTGCCTTCTATTAAATAGGTGCTTTAAAATTCTTTTGATTGAATTGAGTTATGGACAGTAGTATGAAGTAGGGCTAGAAAGGTATGATGTTTATAGGTTGTGCTGAAATACATTGAATGCCTAGCAATCCTTAAAGCCCAATTCAAATGTCATCTCCTCCATGAAGCCTTTCCTGTCACTCCAGCAGTAAAAAAAAAAAAATCCCTTTGGATTTTACATAGTACTTTGTTTTTCATCTTTCTAATGTACCTAAGTATTATAATTATTTGCATGTGTATGTTATACCCCTACTACCTCCACAAGGATAGGGACTGTCTTATTTAAAATTTGTATTTCTCCAGAGCAGTAGACATGTAGTGCTCTGCACATGGTAGGTGCATAATATGTATTTGTTGAATTGAACATTCAGGTTTAAATTATTACCAAGTCGGTCTTCCCCAGTACTTATTGTTAACTCCTGAGTTGTCACCAATGGAGAGAGCTACCAAAATTCTGTCCCTCTTTTTTATACTATTAGAAATGCTTTCTGCATATAACAATAACTAACAGGCATAATTTTCACCAAGGGAAGAAAACAGTTCTCTCATAATCAATCAACAAGTATTAATTATTTATTATATGCTAGAGTCTGGGCCAAGTGCTGAGGATACAAAGAGGAAAAGCAGACTGTGATCTCAAGGAGTTTATATTGGTGGAAACAATTTATACAAAAACCAGCAGATACAAGTTAAATACATAGTGGATGGAAAGTAGCCTTATAGGAGAAGGTACTAACCGCTGGGGAACCAATAAAGACCTCCTGTAAGATGTAGCACTTGAGCAGAGTTTCTTTTAAACAATTAAACTTGATTCTTTTTCAGTTAACAAAGATCTACTTTCTCTTCCACCTCTCCCAACTCCCATAAAAAACAAGCAAACAAAAAATCAAAATGCTTGTAACCAACGTGTATAGTCAAGCAAAACAGATTTTCACATTGGCTCTATGCAAAAGATTTAATTTTATTCTGTAGCCTGAGTCTATTACCTCTCTGGAAGGAAGTAGGTAGCATGCTTTATCACTGGTTCTCTAGAAGCATGTTTGGTCATCATAGTGATCAGACTTTCTAAGTCTTTCACAGGTATTTGTTTTTACAATGTTGTTATTGTATAAGTTGTTCTCCTGGTTCTACTCATTTTATTTTGTGTCAGTTCATATAGGTCTTCTCAGGTTTCTCTGAAACCATCTTTTTCATAATTTCTTATGGCACAATTATGTTCATATTTATAATTTGTTCAGCCATTCCCCAATTGATAGGTACCTTCTTAGTTTTTATTTCCTTGTTACCACAAAAAGTTGCTACAGATTTTTTTTAATATGGGTCCTTTTTCCTTTTTTTTGATCACTTCATTTTAGTCTTAAAGGAAGTCAGCCTTTAGGGATACTCAGAGTTAGTGGGCATTACATTGATGATCTATGGCAGAGGCTGAGAAGGAATGGTTAGACAGATAGGAGAACCAAGGGAGAGCAGAATAATAAAAACTCAGAGAGGAGAGAATATCCTGAAAGAAAAGGCAGTTAACAAGGTCATATGCTGCAGAGATAAAGAAAGATGAGGACTGAGAAAAGGCCATTATATTTGGCAATAGGTAACTTTCAAGAGGGTTGTTTCAGTTTAATGATGGAGGAAGGGAACAAGCATTTATTAAGCACCTCCTATGTGCCAATCACTGTGTTAAGTGCTTTACAAATATTATCACATTTGGCAAAGAATGAGGTGAGGAAGTAGAGGCATCTCATGTAGACAGCTTTTTCTAGGAGTCCAGCTCATTAGGGGAGGAGAAATATAGGACAATAGCTGAAGGGCATGAGAGGATCTGGTAAGGATTTTCTAAGGATGGATAGACTTGGGTGTATTTGTAGGTAGCAGGGAAGGAACCAGGAAATTGGTAGAGATTGAGTGTTATCAAAAGAGTAGAGATGATGATGGGGGCAATCTGCTGAAGAAAATGGTGGTGATGAGATCAAAGATTGGTGGGTTGGTCTTAGCAAACAGAAGGGCCACCTCATCATAAGACTGGAGTAAAAGAGATAATGGGGGACAATGTCAAAGGGATGTGAGATGAGGAAGAAGGGAGAAGAGGCTCAGTGGGTGATTGACCTTCAGTTTTTCAGTGATGTGTAAGGCAAGGTCCTCAGTTGAGCAGGTGAGTGGAGGGAGTGGTAAGGGAGGCTGGAGGAGAGAAGAGGTTTGGAACAGCTGCTGTGGTGAGTGGGATAGGGACTTATTAGGAATAGTAGGACTAATTTCCTGTAATGAGGGTTCAGTGGAGACTAGCTAGCATAAATTTAAAGTAGACCCTTCATAAACAAGGGAAGCTAGGGGTCGAAGTGGATAGAGGGCTGGGCCTGGAGTCAGGAAGACTCATCTTCCTGAGTTCAAATCTAGCCTGACATTTATTAGTTGTGTGACCCTGGGCAAGTCACTTGACTCTGTTTGCCTTGGTTTCCTCTTCTTTAAAGTGAGCTAGAGAAGGAAATGGCAAACCATTCCAGTATCTTTGCCAAGAAAACCCCAAATGGGGTCACAGAGTTGACCATGACTGAACAACAACAACAACTTCATAAACAAGCCACCGGTAAACATCAAAATAGTGTTAGACCTTCTGTTTGCCAGACTCTTCCCTCTGGTCATCAAATATCAAGCATTTATTAGATGCCTACTATGTGCCAGGGACTGTACTAGATACTGAGGACATAGAAACAAAACAAACAAAGGCAAATTTTTGCCTTTGAAAAGCTTCCAGTCTAGCCAGGGAAGAAGGTATGTACATACAAGAATGAGTACAAAATAGATACAAAATAGTAATTTTGGAGGGAAGACTATAGCAGCCAGGGAGGGAGGAAAGACCTCATTTAGTAAGTGATAATTAAGTTGAACCATGAAGGATACTAGAGATTCCAAGAGACTGAGAGGAGAAGGAAGTATATTCCAGGCCTATGGGACTGCCAGTTTAAGACCCAGAGGTGGGAGGATTGCATATGAGGAACAAGTGAAGGACCTATTTGGCTGGACAAGAGTGCATGAAGGGGAATAGCGTGTAATGAGGCTGGAAAGATAGATAATGATCTTTTAATGTGAAACAGAGGTATTTTGTTTGATCTTAGGGGAAAATCCTTTGGAAGCTGTATGGAGGATGAATAGAGTGGAAAGAGACCTGAGGCAGGGAGACCAATTAGGAGGCCATTAAAGTAATACAGGTGAGAGGTGAAATGATGGTGGCTATGTGAATGGAGAGAAGGGATAGGAGGAAAGAATCATGGAGGGAGAAATGACAAGATTTTGCAGTGATTGACTATGTGGGGTAAGTGAGAGTCAGGAGTTAAGGATAACACTGGTGCTGTGAACCTGGGTAACTGGAAGAAGTAAGCTCACAACAGAAACAGAAAGAAGAGTGGGTTTGGGGAAGATTGAATCACAGAGAAGACTCCTAGGCTTGAGGCAGTGAGGCTGGGAAGAGGTCAGAGAAGCCATCCGGTTCCTAACTGGATTGACCAATGGTGGCCTGAAAACGAGGAAGAAACATCTTAGCTGAGCACAGATGGGACCAGAAATTTGATCCCTGAACCCTGAATCCAAACTCAACTGAGGAAGACATTGGGGCAGTCTTGTACATAGTCTGTGTCTAGTGGGCAGAAGGATTGGGGAGAAATTAGTGTATTCTTGGCCTATACCTGGGTGAAGGAGGGGATTAGAGAAGATGAAGAGACTCATTTTTGTGGAGTTTCCCATTTGTGTGGTGGCAGATCTCAGGACAATGCAGTACCTGATAACCCCTCCTCACCCTTTCATATGCCTTTTTCGTACCCTGTGTTTTTCAGATGTCCCCAGTATTCTGTAGCTCTTGCCTGAGACATCTGAGCTGGACAGTCCTGCACCTCTTGATGGAAGATGATGGCCCTGGGCAGGCTTTCCCAGAGATTTGAGAGTGCCCTGATTGAGGACTGGAAAGGAGATGGTGGCCCTGGGCAGGCTTTCCCAGAGATCTGAAAGTGACCTGGTTGAGGACTGGGTCATGCTGAATTCAGGGCATCATTTTGACTGGATAGGAAATGCCTTTGGGAGGGTGATGAAGAATAAAGTTGGGAGGTAGCTGGGGCTCTTTTTCTTGAGTGTATTTATTTAAAGATAACACATAAACAGCAATATATATACAGTTGCAGAGCATGACTAGAATTGAGCAAGGGAGGTGATGAATCTTGAAAATAGATTTGAAAAGGGAAATAGAAAGGTCTTGGCACAAAAGAGAGAAAGTTTTCTATTTTGGGAACAGACAACAGTAAAGGCCAGATGATATGTGTACCTCTTGCTTTCTAATTAACAAGTGCACTACCCTCAGCCAGAGATGTTGCTTACCCTGCCGTCTTGCTACACTCTGAATAGTTTACAATGCTCACAGGCAGTCATGTTCACGGTAGGCAGGGTGAACAGTGGATCACATGTACATGTGCACACAAACACATTTAAAATGTGACCACAGAGGGAACAGGAAAGAGTTATCCTTGTATCCTGGTTGGACCCAGAGAAGGCTAAGAAATCCCAGGGTCAGATATTAGTTGGAAAGTTAGGGTGGGTCAGGTATGGTCTCCTTCATGATCCTTTCCTTCATCAGTTCTGCCTGCTCTCCAGGTTTCTGCCTGTGTCTCTAAGGGACCCCAGAGGACCAGGTAATGGCAGCTGAGCTCCTATCAGCCAGGCCCCAGGTGAGCTGTCCTTTCTGAGGCCTCATTCTTACCACTCCTAAGCCCCCTCACAGGCTTAGTTCCTTCCCTAAACTAAACACTTCTCTTCTTCCCATGAACTTGAGCCCTAATTTCTTCTTCCAGGAACTAGGTCAGACCTGACCATGAATTATTTTGTATGGACTCTATCCTTTTCCCTGCCAAACCCACCTGCACAGAATTTGTAAACCTGGGTCATAGAATTTGTAGATATAGTCTCTCTGACTATACTGTACCTGAAAAAGAGGGTTTGGAACAGAGTGACCTCAACCCATTATTGGGGAGGGGAGTACTATTTGTAACACTCCTACACCTCCCAAGTGTGTCCATCTTTTTGAGAAGTGAGTTTCATTCATAGATAACCTTCATTTTCAACATACACACATACACGTTTCTATTACTTAGGTTCATAGATGCCAGCATTCAAACATTAATAAAATGTACACATTTGATATACTGAGTACTATACACATGCATACTCCCCCGTAACCTTCATATCACCACATCCCCAATCCTGGGACAATCCCTGGGGCTACAACAGGAGGGTGTTGTTTCAGGCATTGGTAACTTTTGAGGATGTGGCTGTACACCTCACCCAGCAGGAGTGGGCCGACCTGGGCCCTGCTCAGAGGCATCTCTACAGGGAGGTGATGCTGGAGACCTACAGGAATGTGATCTCATTGGGTAAGGTGCCTTTCTTAGGACTCAGATCTGATCTTCATGATGTCCTATGTTGTAAATAACTGTAGTGTCTTGAGGATCTAGTTGGGTTTGGGCTCTAAACTCAAGGACCAGAAATTCCTGATCCCATCTTGGCTCAGAAATAGGATGTTTTTGCTTCCTTTTCCTAGACCATAAGGTTCATGTCGCGAAGAAAATGTATAGCTCCTTCAGGTTTTCTCTGAGCCTGAATCTTCCCTCTCCTCCAGCTTCCTTGTTGTCCAGGTATAGGAAAGGTCCAATGGTGACATCCCCAAAAGTGGGAGTGAAACAATTGTTCTTCTATGCCCAGATCACAAATTCTGTGCACCCACTCATTCCTGGGGGAATATAATTCTGGGGCCCCTTCTCAGGGTGCATAGTTCTTCCCTGGGCCTTCTTGTCATGACCCCCCTAGATATTCCCTTCTCCAACTTGCTTGCCTGCACATATGACTAAGATTGAAACTAGGACAGTCCTTTGTAACCAAGAAAAAAAATCACTCTTCTCCATTTCCTCCCCCATGATCAGGATTTCCAGTGTCCAAACCTCATATGATCTCTCAGCTGGAACGAGGGGAAGAGCCATGGGTCCTAAGCATGAAGGTAGCTGAGAGGAGAAAGATTCTGAGAGGCAACTGTTCAGGTGAGTGAGACAACTTTTCCTTCATTCATTGACTGAATAGACATTTACTGGGCTCCTTCTGTGAGCTTTTTGGGGAACTAGGTTTTTCAGATAGTTCAAAGCAAATAGAAGATATAGTTCTTGCCTTCCCTGAGCTCATTGTGTTGTTGGTCCTACCCCCTCCTGTCTCTTCCGGGAGCTTGCCTCTCTCTTTCATTTTCAATCTCTCCTTATCCACAGGCTGCATTCCTGTAATTGCCAAGTCAGAGTGTATGAATTACTTAGTGACTTTTCTCATGTAATTCCAAATTAATTTCTAGAATAGTCAGCTCCGTCAATAGCATATTACAGTTCTCATCTTCCCAGAGCCACTCCAACATATTCTTTTCCCCCTACCACTTCTTAAGAGCACTCCATCACTGGCCAAGAGCTTGTCATTCCTACATTACTGACTGGTCACCCAGGCAGAAATGATCTCTTCTTCTATTAAATTTGTGCTACTCATATGTCACTTATTACACAGTGAATGTCTTGTATTGGACTTATTTTTGTTTATGTCAGTGGAAAACACGTGGAGCCTCTACTGGTATGAAGCCCTGGAAATACTTCTTGGTCTTCAGTCAATGTCCAGAAGCTCCATTTCTTCCTTTCCACTAACTACAGATTTTTACCTTCCTCATTTCCTGTCTACCCTTTTACTCACCTCTCCACTACCACCATTTGCTCTTCCATCTAGAAGCAGGGGTGGGGAACCTGTGGCCTTGAGGCCACATGTGGCCTTCTAGGTCCTTGAGTGTAGCCTTTTGACTGAGTCCAAGTTTTACAGAACAAATCCTTTTTTATTAAGGGGATTTGTTCTGTGAAATTTGGATTAAGTCAAAGGGCCACACTTGAGGACCTAGAGGGCCACATGTGGCCTCAAGGCCACAAGTTCCCCACCCCTGAGAATCGCCTCTTCCCAGACTACTTCTAAACAAGAATTTTTGCTTTTTATCCTTTTCCTCTCCCCTGCCCTGCTCCACCCCCCTCCCAGTTTAGTAAATAGCTCCCTCTTAATTTTTTTTTTTACTGCTTTTTACTATGGGAACATAAATCCAAATATAGATAACAAACTTAGATAAGAAGCAGGAAGGCTCAAATAGCCTTCAGAACAGCTGCTTTTGGTCTTTAAATGGTAGCTGGGGTCAAGCTTGCCACTTTTTAGACTCCTTTCACTGATCTCTTAATTCTTCATCCTGAGGTTCAGCTACATGCACTTCATTTTTTATTCTCAGGGCTTGTTTCTTTCATCTTCTAGGTCCCCATCCCTTCTTTCTTCCAGGAAGATCCCTGATGAGACAATAGTTGTTAATTAACAGTCCCTTGCTCCCGAAAGTAAGATTTACTTACAGCTCAAAAGGCATCCCCCCCCCCCCCATGATTTTGATATCTGTCTCTTTCAAAGAATGCTTAAGTTAGTTCATTGCTGGCAGTCTCTTACTTCCTACTAAAGCATAAGCTCTGAGAACATGTACCCTCAGTTGCATATACATGTTTGTCTACCCTAGAATTTTGGGCATACGTAGGCTTTCAATGAATTTTTGTTAAATGAAGGAATGAATGAATGTCTGTTGTTTTAGATTGTGAGACCAGCAACAAGAAAAAGGAATTGACTTCTACACAAGAAATTCCTGAAGAAAAGGAATCAAAGAGAGCAATATTGGAAGTACTCAGAGGAAATATTACCCAGCCTTCCAAATTTCATAATGTTGATGAAATCAAAGGCAGTTTAATTCAATCTCAGAGGAATGCTACTGGGAAAAGACTCAAGAAATCACTTTCCAAAGAACAAAGTGTCAAACCAGTGACAGTGATCCATAGGAATATTAGCCCAGGACAAGTACCCTCCAAATTTAGTGAATCTAGGAGAGGCTTCAGTATGAACTCAAAGCATATTAAACAGCAGAGTATTTTCACAGGAGAAAAGCCTTATCAATATGATACAAATGAACAAAGTTCCCAACAGAATCCTGACCAGAGAGTACATATTGGAGAGAAATACTGTAAACCTAACATATGTGAAAAAACATTCAGGCAGAACTCAGACCTGATTGAACAGCAGGATGTTCACATTGGGCAAAAGTCCTATGAATGTAATGAATGTGGGAAAATCTTCTCTGTGAGCTCATCCCTTATTCAGCACCAGAGAATTCACACAGAAGAAAAACCCTATGAGTGTAAAGAATGTGGAAAAACTTTCAACCATAGTTCTAATCTTAACCAACACCAGAAAATTCACACTAGAAAGAAACCCTATGAGTGTAATGAATGTGTCAAAGCCTTCTATCAACAGTCTAACCTTATCCAACATCAAAGAATTCACACCGGAGAGAAACCTTATAAATGTATGGAATGTGGAAAAGCCTTAAGTACACGATCTTCTCTTATTCAACACCAGAGAATTCACACTGGAGAGAAACCCTATGAATGTAATGAATGTGGGAAAACCTTCATACGAGGTTCTAACTTCATTGATCACCAGAGAATTCACACTGGAGAGAAACCCTATGAGTGTAGTGAATGTGGTAAAGCCTTCTCTCAGCACTGTAACCTTATACAACACCAGAGAATTCACAATGGAGAGAAACCCTATGAATGTAGTGAATGTGGGAGAGCTTTTGTTGCACTTGCAAATTTGATTCAACATCATAGAATTCATACTGGAGAAAAACCCTATGAATGTCACGACTGTGGGAAAACCTTTCGTGCAAGCTCATACTTTACTCAGCATTGTAAAATACATACTTAGAAAAACTATACGTGCTAGTACGAAAGCATTTAGTGAACATGCATCTCATTCAAAATCAAAGAATTCAAAGCGAAGAGAATCCAAGAAACATTTATTAAGCATCTACTATTGATGAGGCCTTGTGCTAGGTGCTAGGGATACAAAAACCAGAAAACATGAGGAATTTACATTATACTGGGAGAATGCACTATATTCATAGATAAGGAAATACAAAATAATTAAAGTAGGGAGGGCATTAACAGCCTTTGTATCCCCAGAACTTAGTACATTCCTTGCACATAGTAAGCCTTGAATAAATGCTTGTTGACTGACCAAATCTGCCCCCCCCCAAAAAAAAACCAACCTTTCTCTATGAGAGTATGGTCCTTCACTCAGAGTTGTGATCCTCATAAATATCAGCTAGTTCGTACTGTGGACACAGCAAAACTGGTAAAGAAAATCTCCCTTCAGTGCATCAAAGACCTTGTGTGTGTATCCAGTGTGGAAAAGCTTTATGTCAGAGCTCTTCACTTTATAAATTTTAAGAGAATATGAGAGAACAATTGAGTGGAATGAATGAAGTAACACCTTCCTTCTAAGCTTATGTCTTATTCAGAATTATGGAGTTTACATAGAGAAATATCCAGTGAATGGATTAAAGCCATGGGTATAAAAACATCCTTTATTCATCAGAAAGTCCACATGGGACTAAAACTTTATAACAAAGTTTCATAGCTCTGCATTCAAAGAATTGTCTGGGTTTTTCCCCCTCAAGTTAACTCTGTAATTTATGATTACTGCCCTGGGTGGAATCTAGGGGTTGGAGGTCTATAGATCATGGCACTGGAACACCAAGGCAAGGCCTTCAATGAAATATCAAATGTAGCTTCTGCCAAGGCATAGTAATTTAATACTAGATTTTCACACCCTTGTACACCAAAAACATGAAGTATCAGATCAAAATATGAAATATTTTTGTATTTGCATCATTGTCACATAGCAGGAATAGAGAATGACTTTCCTGTCAAATGAGATGGGGAAAGAGAGAATAGCCCTTCTGTCACAAGATGGAGTAGAAAAGTCATTTTTGAAGAGAGTCAGTTGAGGGATGGAAAACTCTCAAGGATGAAATTCTGTATTTCAATGAGGAAGAAAAGAGGTGTCCAAAGATCTATTTAGATACACAAGAAACTTGTCAACGACTTGAATTTAAAAGATGTGTGTAAAAGATGAAATAGCCCATAAGGGAGGATGAATATAAAACCATTGAGAATTCCATTAAAAACTGTTAGGAATGCAAAAGACCTGAGGCCAGCAATAAATGCTAAGGTGAAAAAGGGGGAAGTGAGATTTCTTTAACTATATTGAGGGAAAGAAGATTAACAAAGGCATAGACTTGAGATAGGTAGTTAATAGGAAGCTGGAACCCAAGGTAAGGAGATAGTGAGAACACTTAGCTTCCCTTGAGGAATTTGGCACAGATGAACTACATTCCAAGATACCAAAAGAAGTAGTGAATGTGGTTGTTGTGCCACTATCATTAATCTTTGAAAAAGAAATTGTGGAGACTAGGAAAAGCATTATAGGGCTGATAAGATGTCCCTGATTTCAAAAGAAGAGAAGAGAGTAGATTCTGTAAACTGTAGACCAGTGAACCTGACTTTGATTCCTGACTAAATTCAAGAACAAATTTTTAAAGGGGTGGTTTGTGAATATTTAGAAAAGGAGGTGATCACTAGGAACCAGCATGGCTTCATCAAGAACAAACTATACCAGATTATCCCCATTCTCCTTTTTGACAGGGTTATTAGACTAGTAGATAAGGAGAATGCTGTTAATTGCTTGCTTGTTTGCTTACAGCCTTTGTAGATAAGGGGAGAAATTGGCTACCAGGTAGTTCATTTATTTAAATGGATAAAAACTGGCTAAATGATTGGGATCAAAGAGGAGTCCTAGATGATTCAGTGTCAGCTTGGAGGGAGGTTCCTAGTGGAGAGAGCTTTAGGTAGTTACTTGGCCTTTGTTATTTAACTTTTTTTTTTTAAATCACTGACTCAGATAAAGGCATCAATGCATGCTTATTGAATTTGCAGATGATGCAAATATGGAAGGTATAGCTAACATGTTGGATAGAGTTAGGATCCAAAAAGATGTTAACAAACTGAAGTGATGGACCGAATCTAGTAAGACGATTTAGGGAGTCTAGAACTGATTTCATTGGTGTAGGAAATTCCTAGCATGGAAATTGACTTTACGAAATGCAGAATGACAACTTGTACATTTAGAGTAGATATTCTTAACCTGGGATCTGAAACAAACAAACAAAAATATTGGCCACCATTTCAATATAATTAGTTTCCTTTGTAATTCTATTTTACATAAAACATTGAGAATGAGTCCATAGGTTTCCTTATACTTCTAAAGAGTTCCATGACAAAAAAGGGTCCATGACACTTGTGATTTAGAGTTTCTTGGCACATTAAGTGATTTGCCCAGCTTCACACAGCTGGGATATCAGAAGTGAAACTTGAGCCCAGATCTTCCTGACTCAAGTCTGCTTTGTATCTCCTGCCCATGCTATGACTCAGTATGAAATTTAATAGAGATAAATGTAAAATTCTACACTTCATTTAAAAAATTCAGCATGATAAATATAGGATGCTTGAGGGGCTAGACAGTTCTCTGAAAAAGATCTGGGGATTTTAGTGTACTCTAAACTTACTGAAAGTCAACATTGTGAAAATAGCTAAGTGAAACACGTACAGCCAGATGACATGGCAGATAGAGCCTTGGACTTGAAGTCAAGAGGATCTGAGTTGAAATCCTGCCTCAGATGCTAGTTGTGTGACCCTGGGGAAGCCACTTAACCTTTCTGCTTCACTTTCCTCATCTGTAAAATGGGGATAATAAAAGCATCTATTTCCTAGGGTTGTTGTCAGGGTAAAATGAGATAATATATGCTTCAAAAACTTTAAAGTGTTATATTTTAGCTATTTTTAACCATTTAAAATGCTAACACAACCATAGGCAGTATTAAGGATAGAGGCATGGTATCAAGGACTAGGATGGTAATAGTTCCATTGTACTATGCTTTGATCAGACCACATCTGAAGTATTGTTTTCAGTTTGGGTTAGCATTTTATTTGTGACAATGTCTAAGAGGGTTGTTTGTTATAGTCAGTATAAATTCAACTGTTGAACTGCATCAGGAGGTAGGATTAGGAATTTCACTCTCTTTACTGAACACGTTCCTTGGATAATGGATGTTGCCAGTCTTTTAGATCACTCCCCTTCTGCCCCTTCGAGAACACTTACTTTCTAGTAACCACCCATTTGCTGTCCTTTCCCCCTATAGGGTTGTCTGTCTGCATGTGTAGAAGATAACAGTTGGGATAAAGGACCTGGTTACCATAGCAATAAGGTAGCCATGAAACCAAAATGCTATTTTAAGCTTTAGTCTTTTTTTTTTTTTTGCAGCCTAAATAAAAAAAAAAAAACCAGATCCATGCTTTTTCTAGCATACTTTGGGAAGTATATAAACAATAACAATAAAATGGCTGTCTCATGTACTTCAGGAGCCCCCAGCCAATATGGAAGTCCCCACAACTTAGATACTTTGTACTTTCTGTCCCTTTCCCTCGTGGTGAGTAAAAAATGACACTGAGGTGAACTGAGACAAGATTTCCAAACAATGTAACAGTTTATTAACAGGGACTCATAAACTGTTAGTAAAGTGAGTCACTCTAGCGACCTCAGCAAAGGCTAGGGACCCAAAAGGATGAGAAAGCCCCTCTTCATTGAGATGAAGGAAAGGAGTTCTGAGTGGTTGGGGAATAGTCACAATTGGCTACTGCTAGGAAAGATGAGTTGGCCTTCAGATGTGGAAGATTACTCCCAGATCTGGCAATTAAGGAACGTTAATACCTTTTGGGACCTAGCTACCTTTAGCAACCTTGGCTAGAAAAACCATCCCAATCAGGTTCCACCCTGCCCCTTTACTTTGGCCTCCTCTTTGGAGACTAAATCACACTAATTTTGCCAAGGAGACAGAAGGACACCAGAGTTGTCCCCTGGGGAAGGCCTAGCTAAAGCTGGACCTCTGCTCATATAGAGGCAAGGGCTCCAGGTTAGTTAGCAAGTGCCCTCGGGGCTGGGAGTGATCCTTTTACTTGGCCGTACCTTTAGAGATTGAACTAGACTAAGAAGTGGGTTTTTTGACAAAATGGGGAAAAGACTGGATTACAAAGTAATATTAATTATCAAATGATAAGGCATAATATTAATTTTCCTCTCCCTCTTGTTTGTATACCTTGCTCAGCCAATCTCCTTTTTCTCTAGCTTCTTATTCACAATAATGAAGCATACAAATCAGAAGCAGCTAAAATCTAACACTTTATGTGACCAGACATTAATACAAATTAAAAATGTAAACAAACTTTTAAAAACAGGAAAAATGTGGACTTCACATCTGAGAAATTAGCACTTTACTATCTGTTATAAGTTTGTGGGGGGAGGGAAGTTCAGTCCAATCTAAACATACCTCCCCTCTGGCCAAGACTGAACATCATTTATACCAATAATTCACTGAACCTCATTGCTCACCTATTTTGTTCCACTTGTGGAAGTTTCTCCCCATGGAAAGGAATGCTTTAAGCCCTCTCTTTAAACTGTGGGTCATGGCAAGTAGAAGGATTTCTGTCCTACCTGAAGAACTTCAACCTCAGCATATATTTCTCCTTGACAAAGAGGAGTACCAGAGGTTACATACTGTTGGTTAAAACATCCCATTGCCACTTCCAGTCTCTCTATCAACATCGTTGAGCAACCTTTTCTCCTTTGAGGTTCATGATATTTCCCAATCTAGATCCCTAGTGGTTGCTCCCTGACATATGCCATTTCAGTCCCTGGCTCATTTTCTTTCTGCTCCAATTCCTGCCTTTGTATTAGGAGACTTCAACATATAAGGTGTCCCAAATGTCTTAGCTTTAATAGCTTAAAATTGCACTAAGATTTTTGGAACACCCTCTATATACTGATTCTCAAATACCCTAACTTAACAGACCTTCAATTTATTCAAGTCCCATGACTTACTCCTCTAATCCATTTTAGCTACACACAGAGATTATCATATCCTGGATCTAGCCATCATCTGTAAGTGTGTTCAGTTTTCATGTTAAGGAACTCCAAAAATTCCTTTATCTGCTCCTAACCTTTTATCATTCCATCTTTTTTTGGTCATGTTTTAAGGCAGTGGGGTTAAGTGACTTGTCCAGAGTCACACAGC